GGTGATCTTGCTAGGTCTTCAATTTTTACAGTTTTATTCCTCTCCCCAAAATTCAGATAAACATCAAAGAAACTAGTATATTATTTTTTGTAACCCACTTGTAAGTTATCTCAGAAAGCTATAATAACTAGCTGTTTCTCTCTCTCTCTCTCTCTCTCTCTCTCACACACACACACACACACACAGTGAAACTATATATTTAATATATATTCCTGTGACCAACATATTTTCAGTCCTTTTTGCTCTCTGCATATACATCATTATGTTCTGAATGTAACATTCCTCTACTCCAATAATTAATTCATGACAGCAGATTAATTGGATTTAAACTCCAAATGACTACAAAAGCAGAGATGAGTCAGTAGTCTATCCTAATGGGATGGTTTATTAAGAAGGATTCTCTGACTGACATATAGAACAGGGTTATACATATTTATATTTAATTAATTGAGTGTTGCCCTTTCTCTATAATGCTGCCCTGAAACATTAAAGTATTGAGAAATAAAAGTAAAAAAAAAAAGGTAGAACATTTTATCATTCATTAGATACAGGATGATCTCCCAACCCCAGGTCCTCTGCAGAATGCCTGAAACAGAAATCTTATTATCATTTGGCATGTAGTTTCACAGAGGATGAAGAAATGGTTGAAATAATGGCTTTGTAGAAGACATGTCTGGTTTAAAATTGGATGCAAATGGACTTCTAGAGAAGCTTCTCATTGAACATGGCTCAGTAGATACAGGTAGACCTCGAGTAATGACCCCAATTGACCCCAATATTACTTAGGGGTCAGTGATGGGATTCAAATATTTTTACCACTAGTTCAGTGGGCGTGGCTTAATGGGCGCGCTTTGCATACGTGCACACACTTTGTGAGCGTGCGCGTGCCAAATGCACACTTTGAGCAGGTGCAGAGGCATTTGCCAGGCACAGAGGCGTTCTAACTCACCTCCTGCAAGCCTGCACGATCCCAGTCGCTTCAGCAGCTGCCGCGCAGCACTTTTCTGTGCCGCGCCAAGCAGCTGCACTTCAAATTCAGAGGATAAAGGGTAGCCCAGGCAGGCGGGTGGACCCAACAGAAGAGCCAGAAGAGTGGCGGAGAGAACCGGTTTGGTCTCTGCTGCTTATCGCTGGTACCGGCTCGGCAGAACCGGGCTGAACCGATAGAATACTACCACAGTTAGGGGCGATGTTGCTAAGTAAAACATTTGTTAAGGTTGTTTGCCCCATTTTATGACCTTTCTTGCCACAGTTATTAAGTGAATCGCTGCAGTTGTAAAGTTAGCAACATGGTTGTTAAGTGAATCTGGCTTCCCCATTGGCTTTGCTTGTCAGAAGGTCACAAGAAATGATCACATGACCCCTGGACACTGCAACCGTCGTAAATGTGAACCAATTGCCAAGCAACTGAATTTTGATCAAATGACCATAGGGATGCTGCAAGGGCCGTAAGTGTGAAAAACGGTCATAAGTCACTATTTTCAGTGGTGTTGTAACTTTGAACAGTCACTAAACGAACTATTGTAAGTCTTAGTTAACAAAATGAATTGTAGAACTCCACCCAGCTGCTAGGGCTGAGTTTTTATTTAAGTCTCTTAATGTCTCTGAAAGGATCATTCTAGAAGTTTTAGGAAAAAAAGTCTTTGCTGGTTTAGAAGTCCCATATTCTGGAAGAGGCCAGATTGCAATCTGTCTTTCGTTTTCTTCCTTTTTCTCTCTCTTTCTTTTCTTTTCTTTTTTTCTTTCTTTTCTCCCTCCCTCCCTTCCTCCCTTATTTAAACTTTTTTTTATGTCTGTGGTACTCTGGGTTCCAGAACTAAATAGATTAAAGTCCCAGAACCAGGAGCTCCAAGCCACTCAATCTTACCAGGATTCAGCTGAAGTATGTTGCCCCATTGAGGACCCCCCCCCCACAGCCTCCAGGCACCATGAAAAGTCAGTGACAGCATCCCTTGGGTTGCCCAGGATGGCGATGCAAACATGAGTATCATCAGTGTACTGGTGGTGAATGATCCTCACCCGGCACCTTCATGTAGGTGTTAACTGAATGGAAAACAACTTTACAACAGCATAGTATTTATTTTATTTTATTTATTTTTTATTTTATTTGGTTTGTCAACTGCTCACAAGATAATAGGTATAAGTAAAAACAGTTATGAATACATGAATACATATAAGAAAAATAAAATAAAAAATAAAATAAATAAAAATAAGAAGAAGAAAAAGAAAAGAAAAAGACTTGTGGGGCCAGGGCGACGTGCAATAAGTTCACATGGTGCAATAGGATTGTGTTTGTTAGTAGGATTCACTGGGTTAGGGATTTTCTGTCTTCACTGCGAGTTGTATTGTGTTGAGGGTGGGGTGCACGAAGGGAGGCTCAGCCAATCTCATTGTACATGTTATACTCTGACAGTAAAGGTTTGAACTTTGAACTTGTTTGAATTTGAACAGAGTGGAGAGAGTACTGAACCTACAAAGCTGTAGACTGGACTTTTCATTCCCTATCAACACCAATTGGGACTGGCCTTGGAGAAAGGAGCCAAACCAGGGGCAAGACTGTGCTTAAAAACCAAACCACGTAGCCATCTCAAAAGAATATCATGGTATTGAGAGACACTGAAAGGTCAAGGAAAGCAAAGATGGATGCACAACCACCATCCAGCTCTTGCCAGAGATTGTTCACAATGGTGGTGAATGGTCTTACCCATTCACAAGTGTGACAACGTTGTTTCTGTCCCATAATGGAGCCTGAAACCTGGCTTGAAAGAGTCTAGCTCCATGATGGCAAACCTATGGCACGCATGCCGGAGATGGCACACAGAGCCCTCTCTATGGGCACATGACCTGTCACCCCAGCTCAGCTCTGTTGCGCATGCGCTAATGTGCCTCCCGCTGGCCAGCTGGTCTCTGCCATGCATGTGTGGTACATGGGGCACATGCATAGGGAAGTGTGCAGGCACAGGGGTGATGTGCATGTGCCAGGGACATGTGTGGGAATGCGCGTGCATGCATGGAGGGTGGGACGCATGCGTGGGAAGCACACGCATATTGCATTTTGATGCGCACGTGCGTATTGGGCACTTGGTGCCAAAAAGGTTAGCCATCACTGGTCTAGGTAATCTGTTTCATTTAAGACCTTCAAAAGCTGCCAAGCAATCATCTTCCATATCATTTTCTCTAAGCTGGAGGACTAGACAAAAATTGTCCAGACAGATAGGATTAAGAGGTGTTTTCTTTTTAAGAAGGGGCAAAACAGGGTCTCCTTAAAAGGCCCCTTCCTGCAGTCAAGAATTTATCACTGCCTGAAACCCACCTGGCTGTCAGTCCTGGAAGTGTTTACATGGATGTTAACTGCATATAATGAATTTAATTTTAATTACATTCAATTGTAAAAATTAAATTAGGTTTTTTTACTCTTGCCCCATTATTTTTTGGAAAATAATGACTTTCCCACTCAAATGTAGTTTTTGGCCTAAAACTATTGCACGTAGTTATCCTAGATTATCTATATATACTTATTCTGCTGTTTGAAAACTGAGACCAAGGTACCACGTATGTACTCACATTACACTTAAACAGCTTGAGTCTGAGATTATCTGGATGACTACCTGTATATCAATGAACCCCTTTAGAGATTCTTCTATGCATATGTATTTGCACAATATATGTCCATTTACAGCACAAAGCTAAAAAATAAAGGTACAAAGATGTGTCAAAAATGTTTAGGTCCTCCATTGCTTTTCAAACTTTTTTTTTTTTACAGTTAATATGTTTGTGACCACTAGATGGCACAACTGCTATGTCTCATTTGAAAGCAGTTACCTTTAAAAAAATATTGTCAAAACAGTTCCAGTAAGGAGTGGAGAAACTACTATTCCATAAAGTTGCAACTCCCAGAAACCCTATGAAATCACTGGCTGGGCCATTTCATCTTTCTATTCAAATTAGTCACTCAAGGCAGCTTACATTCAAAAGATAAAGACAATTTTGCATTTAAGGGCCAAGTTAAGGAAATGTATTATTTACTAAACTTTTAGAGGTGGAGGGACAAAACAACTTTTAGAGGTGAAGGGACAAAACAACTGCCAAGGCAATTGCCTGGGACAGAGGTAAGGAAAAATTCCGTCCACATGGTTGATAAACTGGTTTTCCAGGTGAAAAACAAAAGAGTATCAGTAAGAAATACTCCTTTAACTGACTGAAGATTCCTTCCTTCTGATTCATCGTAACTTGCGTTGCTATGAAAAGACTGAAAATTTGAAATTTATATCGTTTTAAAGTAATTATTATGCCCTGGGGAAGATCAAGATGGACTGTATAAGCATGGAAGAATATTTATTTTTATTTAGGGACAGAGCACTTGAAAAAAGGGGAAAACAAGATTTATACCTTTCAAATGTTAATATTTTTGTTTCCTTGTGCTGCTGAATGAGTCCTGAGATCCAGAACAAATCAATTTATTTTCTGTTTCATACATTAAAATCATATAGAGATTTTTAAACCATTAATTCAAATTTCATAAAACTCAGGAACTTCTGGCAAACCTGATATTGTCAAGATTTATACTATTAGTATAATGATTTGCAGGTCTAAATTACGACAAATAGATTCTAGGATACTTAATAACAAGGGTTTCTGTGTTCTTGTTTCGAATATGAGCTTGTTGAAATGTTAAAATTGGTAGGATTGGTAATCTTTTTAAAATTCCCCAATCAATCATACATTTACCAATGATTTCATTACTGCATTTCAATATTTTATTGATATTTCTTGCATTTTTAAATCTAATTAAGAATTTGAAATATGGCTCAGAGAAATTATCCAGAATGCATACAGACATAATGGTACAGTTCATAAAGACATAGTAACGTACACCGATAACATTAATTCCCCAAGCAGTATGTTTTGAGAAATGCATAGAAGTCATATAAACCAAGTTTACATTACTTGCTAATGCTGATTTTGAACATACCAGTCATTAATGTTTTTCTTTAAAAAAAAAAAAGCTGCTGATTTTATAAAAAGATATTTGAACTTATTTGTTTTTACTCTTTGATATGAATACATGGCTTTGTTGGTTTCCACTTAATTACTTAAAGTTTTTTTTCCAACAATGCAACTCTTCAACAAACAAACAACAAACACCGAGACAAGCTGAAAGTTATTCAGAAACCAAGTTGCTTAATTCTTATTAATTTATTGTGCTTCCTCATAGCATTTATTTCTTTTAGAAAAATGCAAAAATAGCTTCCTAAATTCTATGGTTTAAAAAACATTTTTAAAATCAGACAATTTTAAAGATGCATAAACTGTACAGTTCAAGTGAAATCATTAATATAAATTGTCCCTGAGATATTTCCAAGAAAATTTTGCTTCCACGTAACAAATGCTGTAATGGAATGATGATTCCATGATTGGTATCCTTCATTGTTCAGCCTAGAATGAAGACAAATCCATACATAGTTCAGATATCTAGTTTTATATCTATAAGGATAACTAGAATCACAATATTTCAGTTCTTTATCATTATTTTCCAACCAAACAGCACATGCTTTTCAATTGTTCTAGGTGAATAAATCCCAAATATTTTATTTAAGATGCAAATATTCCTTTTAGCCGAAGATGAGGGGAAAAATCATAAACCCCAAGACCTTTTGATATGTTATGAGAAACTGTTTATGAAATTTTACAGTCTATTCCTTGGGAACAACACTGCCAGCATTTATTATCTTAACCAATTTGAAACGTTAACCGGAAAAGGAAAACCTTAGAAGTTAGGTGAACCAACATGTCTGAACAATAGTTAATATATATTTTCAACAAATGAAACACAAGAATAAATATTTAAACGCAGTAGAACCCTTCTTTAAAATAGCTTCTTTCATTTGTAAAAATTTATAAATCTTATCCTTGAAGTATGTAAACATGACCAAGAGTTGTATTTGGATAAAAAGTCCAGTTCTGTTAAGTCCTTTAAAAAGTGTTTTAAATGAAGCAACAGTATGTCTTCTTTGTAACTTTTGTTCGATGATTTTGAAGAGGAAGATTTTTTTTGTCGAGTCTCACTTTTGTTTCTTGCTTTTATTACAGTTGTGTGCCTCCATTTCAATGGCCTGGTTCCCTCCACTGAGTTTTTGAGATTTCTTTGGTAGCACCAATAATACCAATATACATAAAATGTGCATATGGAAATACAGTGATCTGGAAGTGATGAGAGACAATATAAACCGGTTACCAACTGCAATACAAAAACTGTGGCTTTAATTAAACCAGTTTAAGAAGTTCCACATCTCAGCCAAAGCCCATCATGACAGCTGAAGTGATATTCTGAGCAGATAATTGAAGGGGCTTTACATGGGACATTTCCTGTTCATCTGATCCACACATCTGTCCAGTCATTCTAGTGCACAATTTGGAACTAATAGTAAAAATAACTTACTTGTATAATTTAATTGTCGGCTCAACAGCAAGAAGAACAAATGGTGCCACAGTGTAGCAAACCGACAGCTGAGTTGCCAACCAGGTGACCAGGTCATAACCCACCTTGAGCAGCTTGGATGAGATGAAGACGTGTCGACAATTGTTCCTAACCTTTTTTAAAAAAAATATATATATTTAAATGTTTTAAAAGAATTTTCACATAGTGCACCTCTCACCAATTTCTAGTCTATGTATATGCTGCCTGGTTTTGATAAAGTTTTGCTACAATGTATGAAAATATTTGCTTTCTTCTTCCTACTACTAACTAAAAACAACTTTCAAAAGCTATGAGGAAAAGTTAGTGAGATGAGAAGCTGAATAGAAACGGTAGAAATACTAACCCTATGAATAAGCCCCTTCATTTCAGTTGAGTAAACACGTTAGAAATTTAATCAGAATTTTTCTCCAAGGGCCAAATCTGGTATAATTATTAGCATGTAAAGATTTTTCTGAAATGGCACATATTTATCTATACCAGGGCTGTCAAACTCCTGGCCTGCGGGCTGGATGCATCATGCACTGGCCATGACCCTGGCCGCTTTAGCAAAGGGGAAATATGTCATGTGGTGCTGCCATGAGCAAAGCTAGGTTAGCTGTGGCCTGCGTGACGCATCCAGCCCCGGAGGCTGCCAGTTTGACACCCCTGCATTAACAGAATAGACAAGAAAAACAACCAATTCTGACTTTTGTATATCTTTACAGAATTCAATAGGAGAGACTGTTCCGTGTACTAATTATTCTAATATGTGATGCTACTCAATGAAATATCTAGGAAATGGGTGTACGGTACTTACTTCCAAAAAACACGATATTTGAGATAGATACAATTTAATACAGTGAAGAGAAAATATGTTTTGCTTTGGAAATCAGTAGCTCTTGTGGAATCTATGATTGATTTTGTCTGGGCTTGTACCCACAGGACAAAAAGAAGATTAACAGGGATACATACTCTTCTGGCTGCCAGTGTCACAAAGATGCCAGTGGTAAATGTAAAATAATATCCGGGATAAACACCATGCCACAGAGCTGAGAGAAGAAATGTTGAGGCTGTAGGATACCAAGAAGTCCGATCATAACATACACTAAAAAGAAAATTAGAAAAAGAAAATATATAAATATGCAGGTTAGATGCAATTATATTTGAAACGATTGATTCTTTATCTGTTTCAATCAAAACTGTTCTTAGAAGAGTTTCTAAGGACTAGATACTATTTACTGACTATTCCCCTATTTCACTACACATAAAAGGAATGGCAAAAAAATTCTGATTTTAAATACCATCATCAATTGAACTTGGATCTTTCATACCTAGGTAATCTTAAAAGAATAAGTATATAAAGCTCACAGCATTTGTGCAGCTCTTATAGAACACAACTTTATATATATATAAATTTATTGTTTTATCATAGAAAATAAAATACAAAACAGTAAAACAAACAAACAAAATGAAACAAAGCAAAACATGAATTCAACCCTAACAAGGAAAAAAATAGTGTACAAAAAGGAGGGAAGAATGGTCCATTAAATTTAACATTTAATATGTAGGATCCACCCTGACTGTGTGCTGAAAGAAATGAAAAAGCAATAAATTCTCCTCCCTTTTTACATATTATATGTATGTATGTATATATGTATGTATGTATGTAAGTATGCTACACTAATCTCCAAATCCCTCTGTTAACCATCTGTTATTATATTTAGCACATAGAAAGTCCACAAATGGTATATAACTTTACTTTTGATCAGAAACTTACATAATTTCTATTTATATTTCAGTTTAACATTTATGGTTATGGTTATGTGTAGAAGTGTTGCTAAGGTAAGAAGTGCAAAGCATCTTATATTTGAAGCAATTCTTTTATTGCATTTGCTGATATTTAGAAAGATCACTGTTATAATTCCTAAATACATCTGGCAATGATCTAATAGTTTATTTATTTATGGAAAGGGATTCTCATCCCCCCTCCAGTAACACGTGGAATTAAAATGGGTCAATGGTGTAAATTAAGAAAATGTCACTGTTCTTATGCAGCAAATGAGGAAAAAGACTGTTCTTCAGGAACATTTTTGTATCGGAAGCTCCGCGAGCACACATACACATACACACACACAAACTGAGGTTATAGCGGAATAATACAAAAATTAAAACGGAAGCATTTTAGTCTAACTTCTAGAAATGGATACACAGAGTGCCATTATTAGTAGGCAGTATCATTTGAAGTTTTATCTTAGGGCCAGGAGTGTATTGTGAAAATATATATTTTTTTCTTTTATCATTATAAAATGATGAGAATTCCAGGGGGAAAAAATATTTTTCATTTTGACTGAATGCAACACTGTATCTCTAACATTGTATTTTAAATAAAGATTGAACCACTGTTGAAGAAATCCACAAAACACTTAATTTTTTTTTTACCGTTTAAGCCAGGCCGTTGTTTGAATATTCCAGTTTTCAACATACATTTTAAAACTGGTTGCCATCTAAGAGTGAAACAAGCATGCATTATTAGGTTTCCTAATACTAAAAATGTCAGTTTCCACCCATATTTTAAGTTACATTTGTTTTGTATGTTTCGTTACAGCTATTTTACACCCTATAGTACACTTTTTAATTGGCAAAAGTCAACTAAAAATATACACTGCTCAAAAAAATAAAGGGAACACAAACATAAGACATCCTAGATCTGAATGAATGAAATATTCTTATTAAATACTTTGTTCATTACATGGTTGAATGTGCTGACAACAAAATCACACAATTATCTTTAACTTTGATGTAATATCCTTAAAACAAGTCAAAATGAGGCTCAGTAATGTGTGTGGCCTCCACATGCCTGTATGACCTCCCTACAACGCCTGGGCAAGCTCCTGATGAGGTGGCGGATGGTCTCCTGAAGGATCTCCTCCCACACCTGGACTAAAGCATCCCCCAACTCCTGGACAGTCTGTGGTACAACGTGGCATTGGTGAATGAGCGAGACATGATGTCCCAGATGTGCTCAATTGGATTCAGGTCTGGGGAACGGGCGGGCCAGTCCATAGCATCAATGCTTTCATCTTGCAGGAACTGCTGACACACTCCAGCCACATGAGGTCTAGCATTGTCGTGCATTAGGAGGAACCCAGGGCCAACCGTACCAACATATGGTCTCACAAGGGGTCTGAGGATCTCATCTCGGTACCTAATGGCAGTCAGGCTACCTCTGGCGAGCACATGGAGGGCTGTGTGGCCCCCTAAAGAAATGCCACCCCACACCATTACTGACCCACTGCCAAACCGGTCATGCTGGAGGATGTTGCAGGCAGCAGAACGTTCTCCACAGCGTCTCCAGATCCTGTCATGTCTGTCACATGTGCTCAGTGTGAACCTGCTTTCATCTGTGAAGAGCACAGGGCACCAGTGGCGAATTTGCCAATCTTGGTGTTCTTTGGCAAATGCCAAACATCCTGCATGGTGTTGGACTGTAAGCACAACCCCCACCTGTGGATGTCGGGCCCTCATACCACCCTCACAGAGTCTGTTTCTGACTGTTTGAGCAGTCACATGCACATTTGTGGCTCCCTGGAGGTCATTTTGCAGGGCTCTGGCAGTGCTCCTCCTGTCCCTCCTTGCACAAAGGCGGAGGTAGCGGTCCTGATGCTGGGTTGTTGCCCTCCTACGGCCTCCTCGTCTCCTGATGTACTGGCCTGTCTCCTGGTAGCGCCTCCATGCTCTGGACACTACGCTGACAGACACAGCAAACCTTCTTGCCACAGCTCGCATTGATGTGCCATCCTGGATGAGCTGCACTACCTGAGCCACTTGTGTGGGTTGTAGACTCTGTCTCATGCTACCACTAGAGTGAAAGCACCGCCAGCATTCAAAAGTGACCAACCATCAGCCAGAAAGCATAGGAACTGAGAAGTGGTCTGTGGTCACCACCTGCAGAACCACTCCTTTATTGGGGATGTCTTGCTAACAGCCTATGCTTTCCACCTGTTGTCTATTCCATTTGCACAACAGTATGTGAAATTGATTGTCAATCAGTGTTGCTACCTAAGTGGACAGTTTGATTTCACAGAAGTGTGATTGACTTGGAGTTATTTTTTCAAGCAGTGTATCATTTCACAGGTTCAATATTGGGGGTTTCGCAGTTAAAAAAAACTTTTCTGGAAAAAATATCAGGTTACTATATTTGGATATGAATAAGGAGCTTTCTCCTTTGGCGGAGAGGAAAGGAGAGGAAGAGGAGGAAAAAGAAGATTTAAAAGCCAGAATAATGGCTTTTGTCCTTGCCTGAATATTGTACCAGTGCAGCAAATGCATTATCTTCCTGCAATAAGCTATTTTATGAAGTTTGGACTTTCTCCACTTTCTTTAGACAAGTTCTTCTCCCTATGGGATCTAGAACAATTTCCAGTTTCAGTGTTATCTCTAAAGAAGACTGCTTCAACTTACCTCAATATTCCTGATATTCAAATTAGACAGTAGATCCCAGCGATAATTGCCTTTCTCATCCACACCACTGAATCCAAAACCGGCTGCATTATTAATTGCATCAGCTGCAAAAAAAAAGAAAAAAAAGCTTAGGATGAAATATTAAACTGACATATGTTTAACAATTCTTAGAATGATCCATCCAATGTTATGTCCTAATAGAACTATTTTTCAATTCCCACTTTATAAGGGAATTTATTAGTAGGGAAATTATAAAATAGTTGTTTTAGAAACCATGAGCTAAATTCCCTTTGTATATATGAAAGGCATCATTGATTTTTGGAAGTAGGCCTGATTTAGAAAGCAAATTCAAGGAAGCAGAAGCCAAATGTATGTAAATATACTGTATAAATGTTAGTATTCAATTAACAAAACAACTGCTTCTTAATGAATGTAAAAGCATTTAATTTAGAATTCCAATTCAGTTAAGTTTATATTCAGAATTATCAAATAAAATAAAATCAATCATTTTTTAAAGTAACATTTTGGACTATATAATTGTGGACCAAAACTAACAGTCCTGAAACAATATTTTAACTTTAAAAAACAGGTTTGGAATTTTAAACACTTTGATTTTTTTTTGTTTGACTTCCAAATTTTTTTTTTTACTTAACATTAGAACAGAATGATCTTTCATTGTTTTGCAACTTTCTCCAATAGCAAATCCATACTGTTTCTCATATAAAAAGGGGGCTGTCCCATTTAAAAGCAAGAATAGAAAGTTTGATATGATCGACAAAATATTACATTCTGTAGATAAATTGTATAGAGAAAAAAAGGGGGCATTAATGCTACTCGGTGTTAAGAAAAATGATAAACTCTAGGATTTACTGCTATAGAAAAGCATTTTGCTTTTCTCTTTTCTCAATACAGAAAGGTATTTATTATCCCAATTGCTCCACAAACTCAATTCTATATTTTGTTTCTAACAACAGAGGAACAACATTCAAATGATCTAATGTATTCTTTTTCATTCTTCTATTGATGCATTTTAATTTTTATATGCATTACCATTTTGATGCTTAAGGGAAAATCTTTTGCTAGGGAGGTTGCTGTGTGCAGGACATTCACAACATGATTGCTACCGCCTTCAAGGAATATTACGAAGTGAAAACACAAACTTAATTCTTTGAGCTTTGTTTGTCCTCCAAAGTAAGAAAAGCAGTCAGTTCTAGCTTTTCTTTGGGAACATTATACTCTCGACATTTTAGAACCTGAGTCAGTATATGACTCATCTTTGCCTCAAGTTCTCATCATGACCCGTCCACATACTGGATAATTGCGTCAGTCACAATTTATTGGCTTTGCTCAACGCACTACTCCAAAACTAAACAAACCATAATATGATTTAGAAGATTGTTCGTATCCTTCACAGAGCATGACTTGATCCAGTATGCCTGTTCCATCCTGTTTCTGTCTGAATTGTTTTTAAGCCTTAAAATATTCACTGAACTTTAAGCCAGCTGAGCTTGATGGCTGCTTAACTTTGGCACTTGCAAAAATGCGAACAGCCGTATTTGAAGCAGCAGTAATTTGTGATATGGTAATAGGACAGGAATCTTCCCCACCCCCCGAAAATCTCTATCTGATCTTCTCAGAAACACTATTTTGGGAAAGCTCAGCAGGCGAGAAGCAGGCAGAAATCACCCTCTTTCAAAAGGTTATCCAGGAAAGGAAAGTTAACCATATCATCAAAATACTTAGGGGTGCAAGCATTCTCCAAAAGAGGCTTCACTTTCCAGCAGCTGTGTGTAGAAGCAGCCTTTTCTCAGCCCATCTCATATTTGATAAAGAATTCACTTTCTAACATGCAGCTATGGATGCCCTGAAATCAGATATTTTCATTCCTAAAAGTAGGCTTTCTGGGTGGCTTCTGTCCTGAGCGAGAATTGATCAGCATTAAAATTATGATCCTCTGCATATTGCATAGTTTGTGGCAGGATCTGGGGTCTACTTTGCCTAAACTGTCTTGGTCCCGGAAAATTTAGACCAGCCTTTGCTAACTTGGGCATTTAGATTTTGATTCCTATAACAAGTACAACTACTATAAGATTGTGGAATATAATCCAACGTATCAGGAAGATACTAAGACTTAATCTTAGTGATGCTATATATATGGGTGTTGCTATGTTAGTAAGTACAATGGACTGAAACACTGCTGATGTCCTGGACTGTGTATTTAACACTACATTAAAAACTATTATAGAACTGCAAGGGCATGTTCTACACAAAATAAGTAATTCTACGTAAAAATATTATCAGATATTTAATGCATATATGAATTTTAGTTTGTCTGATATCCTCTGACATGTATTCGGACTGCTAAATAGATGTGCATTTCTCATTAGAAAAGCCATAATTCTGAATCAGAAATAATGTGCTTAATGTCAACTATATAATACAGTAATATTCCATTTTTTATATCACATTTATGCCTTAATGGATAAAATGGATACATCCACATTAAGTGCAGGTAGTCCTCAAGTTACTTCATTTAGTGATTGTTCAAAGTTACAACGGCAATGAAAAAGTGACTGATTACCATTTTATGACCGTTGCAACAACCCCATGATCACAAAATCAAAATTCAGATGCTTGGCAACTGACTCAAAATAATGACGGCTGCAGTGTCGCAGGGTCATGTGATCCCATTTTGTGACAAGCAAAGTCAATGGGGAAGACCAGATTCATTTAACAGCCGTGTTACTAACTTAACAACTGCAGTGATTCACTTAACAACGGTGGCAATCGAGGTCAAAATTTGGGACAAAATTCACTTAACAACTGTCTTACTTAGCAACACAAAATTTGGGTGGTCGTATGTTGAGGACTACCTGTAGAAGCATGTCCTGCAAAACAATCTTAAACGAAACTTACCAAGTGTCCAAGCAAAATAGTATTTTGGTTTTGAGGCTTGCATGACAACGTATAGAAAACCAAGTCTCGTCAAGAAGGAAGATCGATTTATAAATTGATCGTCAACAATGTAAGTTGCTGGGAAGGTCTTGGTAAGCGTCAAGAACACCACCAGAGATAGAAGTGTGATACCAAGTTTCTGCAGGATGGCTCCCTACAAAGGAAACAGAATAAAATATCGGTATGATTACATCTGAGAGAATAAAGCCTTTTTAAAAAAAATGAAGTGTTTTAAGAAATGAATTATTAAAAGTATGACGTTGTCTACACTTGCTAATATTGAAAAAAAAGGTATTTTCTTTTGGATTATTACTATTAAAAATGATATGATCTCTAACTGTGGAGACAGTAGCACTGCCTCTTAACAGCATAGGTAAAGGTACCCCTCGCACATACGTGCTAGTTGTTTTTGACTCTAGGGGCGGTGCTCATCTCCGTTACAAAACCGAAGAGCCAGAGCTGTCCGAAGATGTCCCCATGGTCATGTGGCCGGCATGACTAGATGCCGAAGGCACATGGAACGCTGTTACCTTCCCACCAAAGTGGTCCTATTTTTCTACTTGCATTTTTACATGCTTTTGAACACTAGGTTGGCAGTCGCTGGGACAAGTAACGGGAGCTCACTCCGTTACGCAGTGCTAGGGATTCGAACCACCGAACTGCCGACCTTTCTGATCGACAAGCTCAGCGTCTTAGCCCCTGAGTCACTGTGACCCTTCTTAACAGCATACATATACACATAAGCAAGTCCTCCTTGTGAGCTTCTCATAGGTTCCTGGTCCCTCTACTAGAGGAACAGAGTGCAGGACGTGAAGGTTTTTCTTCTAAACCAGGAAAGCTCTTTTTATATTTTTATCATAATTGATACTGTTTATTGTCTCAAAACAATTTCAGCATTTCAGAATAAAAGCTTAGCATTTTGTGGCTTACCATTGGAGAAGGATCAGGAAATCTATCGCAATTCCTCTGTTTCCAGCTGACCTTTAATAACTTCATCTGCATGTGTCTCCCTTCAATGAACTCTATATAATCCTTAAAATTACTGCATGGGCCAGCAATAATACTCATGAAGTTGAGATGATAGCTCAGATACTCCAATAAGGAAGGTCTCGTCCTGTCAAAACAATCATGAATATATGTATACTTCAAACATTTTTTTCAAAAAAAGCAAATATTAATTGTTTAAATAAATGGCAGTTTTATTGTAAACATAGTTCAAAAGTCTGAGAAAGAAAAACTAGTGAAACATATAATAAATTTACAAGATACAATTGTTTGAGAGGTATTGTCAAGAATGAAAATTCTCCTACAATGACATTTGGAGATTGATTATTTCATGAATAAAACAATTTGTGCAGTCAAGAGAAACCACATAAAGAATTCATCCATGAGGTTATAGATATAGATATTTGTATAAGGATGTATGTATATTCAAATATTTTCAATTACATGTGCAATTTCTATTATTTCTGTCTATCATTTCACTTCTTGCTAGAGTAGACATGAAATCCTTATCTATAACTGCCTTTTCTGCATGAGTATTACAGAAAAACAGGAACCAAGGTGATTCAAATGAGTATAAGTTTAATCCACACTTAGCTTTCTACAAGAATCTGAACTATTAATAGCCAAGGCAAATTGGTGGTAGTTAAGAATCAATGGAATTCAAAGTGGGCTGGACTTAGATCTCTTGTGGACATGAAGGAATTCCAAACTGATGACATACTTGACCTCTCCTTTGGGCTCAGCCTGGTGATCTCCTACAATTTGTTTAAATAAGATGCATATATAGAAAAATAAATCTAGAATTGAAAATATCCTTTTGAGAATCTTATAATACATGACACTCAGTTTAGATATTTGAATGTGGATCATAATTGTAATGGGAGAAAATCAAGTAAAAATCTATCTTATTCTTTATATATTTAGATCATTGAAAAGAGTCTTAATAAGGAGCAATTTTCAGAGTATAAATCTCAAGAACATAAAATAATTCCAGAATTTAAAAGTGCATGGATAATTATTTACATTACATTAACACTAAATAGAAACTGCATAATAGAAGTAAGCATCTAAGAAAACCCAGATATTAGATTTTTAAAAATTATTAAGCACTGCTGTATTTTCTTACTTTATAGCAAGCTGCTTCTGTTCAGAAGTTAGATCTTCAGCTTTTCTACCTATTCCTATGAAAAAGACATAACAATTAAACTTTGCAAAAAAGAGGCAACCATAGACAATAAAATTCAATTCTAATCAAAATTCATACATCAATAGATGCTGCATTTAACATTTATTTTCTGAGGGCTTCAGAAAGGGGATCTGGGCTGTTGAAACTACTTTAGACGATTCCTAGAAATTATGGTGGCTTTTGGATAAAGAAATACTTGATATATACATTGATTATAAACTTATATTAAATGAATTTTCATAGTTCTTCAGATTAGGAATTGTACTCAGCAAGGGACTCCAGTTATCCCAACAATCTTATCAGACTCTAATTTCAGAATAGGTGAAGAAATAGAGCTCTTAGTAGCATGTGTGTTTTTCTGCCAAAGGTGCTAAGCACTGCCAGGGACCTTTGTTTAAAAGAATAAATAGGTGAACAATAGCTAGAAACTTACCAACAGTAAGGGTAGACCGTATTATAAATTAATTAGTGTAATAAAATAATAAAAAGCAATTTTACTGTTCCTATAAAATGAGATGATATTAACTCTACAGTTTGATATGAACATATTACAAGAAAGTCTCATTTAATGGACTTCTAAGCAAAAATAGGAGCATGGAACAAATGTGTGATGTAAACAGAATGTTTGATTCTTATTTGGACCTACACTGTCTGGTCCATCAATGTCCTCAGGCATTCAGAAGTTAGAATTGGCCTTTTTCCAAAAAGTCTATCAGGAAATCCAAGGCTGCAGAGTAGACTAGGAAGTTGAAAATAAATAAATAATGGAAGTAGAGAATTCCAGGACCCTTCCATACAATTACTAAGAAAACTCTATGAATGTGGTAATGTTGTCTCCCAGGAGCCAGTCTCGATCTGAGGGAAATTTTAAAAAATAGTTAGACTCAATCTAGTTTAAGTAATTTAGGATGGGCCAAAAGTTCACGTTGTATATCACTGACCTAACACTGAAGAGAGGTAATCATTTAAATCCTTCCCCAACCCCCCACAAGAATTCCAGGATCTAAATGCTCTCATTTATTCCAGGCTCCTTCCTTGTAATATAGGTAAGGCAGAACACAATGTTTCAAAACACTGTTAAGAGAATGTTAAACCTACAAATGTTCATTCTAAAATAAATATTGATACCTCTGCTCTCAAGGGGAAAATAAAATTGATAACTATTTATGTGGAAAGGGTCTATGCAGCTTTTAAACTCTTCTATAACTAACAAAATCATTTAATTGGTTAAGGAATTGTTGTTTGTTTGACAATTATATCTTTTCCTCCAGGAGTTAGTTATATGGGGTGCACCAAAGTCATTCAGATAGTTTCCATGGTTGAGGTTTGACTAGGAATTGGAACTCCTGAATCCTGGTGAGTCATTAGCTACCACACTTTTTTCTTTCTTTCTTTCTTTCTTTCTTTCTTTAAATCCTTCCATAAATATGACTCCGTTCATCAAACAATTAAGCATGCAATTTCTGACAGCTTGCTTATGATTTATATACATTATTTGTCATGTTTTCAGTTCTATTCTATTTATAAAAAACAGAATTAAATAAACAGGATTAAATAAGCAAAACTGTCCATAGACTTCAGGGTTTTTTAAATTATTGTCACTAAACCTTAATTGTAACAAGATGACTTCAAGATCTTGGCAGAGACAACACATACTGACCACTTTTTCCCCAAAGGCTGCCAATGTCTATTCAGAGAATTTTACATACAAGATGGAAAATGGAAAAATAATCTTCCTTACCATCATGAACCTGGAATGCAAGAGTTGTGATCTTTTGTGTAACAATCATCAATGGGCTGTAATAAAATGCAGATTGTTTAGATTTTTCACCTTAGTGCATTTTTATGATTTAAACAAGCTGCAGATCAAATATTTTTGTACCAATTCCCATCAAACACAGGTAGCATGGCAAAGATAATGGATTATAACAGTGTCAAACTTGATTTCATTGAGGGACGCATCAGGGTTGTGTTTGACCTTGGGGGGCCAGGAAGGGGCATGGCCAGGGTGGGAGTGGCCAGCTCAATGTCACTCATTGAGGCTCTATTTTTGACATCAGTCCTCCCGGACTCCATGTTTAGCCGTGACGGCCTCCTGCAGCCCTCTGCCAGTGAAAACAGAACTCGGGGAGGCCACAGACCCCCCCCCCCCGAGCTCCCTTTTCGCTGGCAGAGGCACCGCAAGCTGGTCCTTTCCTGTTTCCAGGTGGTCATTCATTCAGTGACTGAAATTATAGCAGTGCTGAACCAGTGGCAACCATTGATCCCTGAAGTGCTACCCGCAGTCACACGATCAATGTTTGGGTGCTTTACAGCCAACCTGCATTTATGAGTGCAGGGGCACTTCTAGTCCCCCAACCCGCTCTTTTGTCCTTCATCTCTGCCCTTTTAGAAACCTGCATAGCAGCATTCCTTGGTGGTGGCACTGGGGCTGAAGTAGAAGAGTAGGGCCTTTAGACGTTTCAACTGACTATCACTGACCCCAGGTGTCAACTTAGCCCCAGGGTTGATAGCACCACTGAAAAGGGCGGCCTCAAGCTTTCCATAGCCATGGAATTATTCCAACTGAAATATCTGTAGTTTCAGTTCAAATTTTATCTTTATTCATTTATGAAAGTTTTGATGCCTTTCCAATACTTTTGAGATTTGTGTGATTACCACATGTGACAATATCTTTTTTGTTGTAACACTTCCAATATTTGTTGTTATATGATTTGTTAGTCTTAGATCTCTGTCAATTTAGGGACACTTTCCCAACCCAATATTCTTGAAATGTATCCACCTATGCTGCTATGGAATTAAAAGTTTTGTGAACCAAAATATCTAAAGGAAATGTTCCCATCACTGGCAACAGCATTTCCAAAATTCCTATCTGAAAGGTACTAGGCTCATTGTACAGAGTCTATTTCCCACAACCCTTAATAAGTATGTTTACCCTAAATTTTCAAATAAAAAAGGGCCAGGAATCTGATGAAGATGCATACTGGAATGCCATTTTTACTGTACAACCATTAAAGTTGTAGGATTTTGCTGATTAAGTATGTCTGGAACAATGGAAAAGATGAAGTGCTCCAACTGGTCAAATATCTAAACAAAGAGCTCTCGTCAAATCTCTTCTCTTTGTCTGAATTATAAACAGATGTTAAAACTGGGGAAAAAGAAAGAAACTTATAAAACTTCCTCTTATATAAAAAGTAAAACATTAAAAATTATAAAAAATATAAAACTATAGTTATAAATGTATAAAATCATTAAAAAATTATAAGAAGAACCAGGACAGCTAATGAAATGCAAGATTGTCTGAACATTGTAATCTTTAAGCAGATAGAAAAAATCACTATATGAACATGTATTTTAATTAAGATGTTTGAATACATTCAGACTGGCCATGGTTACTTACTGTGTATAAGTAATCCTGCAATGTTTAAAAGACTATTTTCAATAGAAGGTTACTAATTCTACTTATTCCAGGTGAGCCAATTAAATTGTATAGACTTAAAAATGGACTAAATAACACTTCAAGAAAAGAGCTGCAGCAAAAGGACAAGAATAAAACAGCACAGTATTTTTTCTCACAAAAGACACATTATATAAAATACATTTCTAATTTTTGAAACTGTGGCAGTGCAGTTTTTGAAACTGTGGTAGTTAAAATCCAGTACTGTAAGCTACCTCTACTTCCTGCGAACTGCCTGCAATTTAGCAGTTCGAATGTCACCAGGGTCATGATAAAGCACTGGGAAGCAGTATATAAGTCTAAGTGCTATTGCTATTGTGACACATAGTTCCAATATTCATCTTCTCGCTTTTGCCCCTATTAAAAGGCCTGATTCATTTGAAATGTAAATATTTACGAAAAGACTGTAAGATTATTTCCCTCAGCAACAGTTTAACATTCATCTAGTTCCATCATCCATATGTCCATTGTGACACATTATCAATTAATTAAAATAAATTGTATGATACTGAATTCTTCTGATTTCTATTTCTTATAGTATAAAAATATATATTATTACTACTTACCCTGAGAAATCTGTAGTGAGAATACCATACTGGAATATATATATTCGGCTAATGTGGCACAGTGTGAGGTATCCCATAGCTACCAAAAAAGAATACCTAGAATCATATGCATTGATAGTATGAAACACTTTAGCCAAAACACTACAATAAACAGAACTGCAAGTACAGTAGAACCTGGCTCCCAATCCAGATATTTATTTTGCTTAGGTTTGCTTGCCTCTGATCTATTATCAAAAAGTTTCAACAGCAAATTTTCATAATTCCTTATGGCTTTACTTATAATCTTTGGGTCTATAAACTATAGCTAAAATATAACCAATATCAATAAAAATAGTTGTAACCATCCTGTGGAATTGATGCCTTGGTTTGGTCTATTTGGTATGGCGGACATCAATCGTGTGAATCTGATTGTGCTATACCTCTCCCTCCTTAAGAGTTCAGTGAATTAGGAAGGTGTCTGTCTGAGAAGTGGCAGAGTATTTTCTGTCTGTTGTAGACTTAAAGAGTCACCTTATGGGGAGATGTGTGACACGTGTATATTTAATAAATAAGTAAAAATATACAGCATTTCAACCCATCATCCTAGCATTGCATTTTGTACATCTCCATCGTGGTCATTCCTTGCTCTTTGTAATAACTGCATTTAATCAGGACTCCACATTGCCTTAAAATGGCCGAAATAAGAGGTGCCACAAGACTACAAGCAACCTTTAATCAGATCAGTAAAGGAACAACATCATTTTAAAATATTACAGTTTTTAACACTTACAATAAACATACAAACTTACCTATGAATGTTGGAAATACTGGCCATGTTCATGATAAAATAACTTATCATCACTAAAGTAAAAATATGGATGGAGTACCTTGGAAGAGAAGAAGAAAAAGAAATTCCATTTTCCAAAGTCAGTAATAGCTAACAGACAACAAGTTAATTTCTGAATTAACTAAAAGTGAAGAGGTCCCTGCTGATTTTTATTCCATTAATCATCGCAGGAGGTGGTGCTCATCTCTGGTTCAAGACCATTGAGACAGCACTGTCTGAAGATATTTACATGGTCATGTGGCCAGCATGACATCATGGAGCGCTATTACCATCCCACGAAAGTGGTACCTATCTATCTACTCGCATTTGCATACTTTCAACCGTTAGATGGGCAAGAACGCGAGCTCACCTCATCATGTGGTACTTGGGTCTCAAACCTGGGCTGCCAGCTTTCCACCTGAGAAGCTCAGCTTCTTAACCACTGAGCCATGCATCACCCTCAAATTAATTAAAAGTTATATAGAAAGAATCCAGTTGTGAAAATCCATCTGAATCAATGCTTCTTTTTTTTTAAAGTAAACTCCTTTGCTCTTGCTATCTTCCTCTTAAATCACAGACTGAATACATGCTTCTTTCCTGGAAAATGTATCTGCTGATAAAAGAGCTTTGACGTATTGTTTTCATAATGTTAGGGTTGCCCAACAGAATGTTTTACAATTCCCAGCATACAAGCTACTCAATTCATAGTCACAGTGAATAGAAAGTTAGACAAGAATGACTCACCAACCAAAGCAGAAGAGGGCAAAATATATCCCCAAAATTGTGGCAAATGCATGACGAACGGCAGAGTTGGCTTGACTAGGCCTTAAGTACAAACGAAACCAAAATGCAGCCAAGAGTGCACAAAGCTGACAAGCAACAAAATTGACCTAAAGGAATATGAAAATAGATTGGAGTCTCTCATAATCATTAGCAAGAAAAAATTGACAAAATCCTAGAGATGGTATAGGAAGTTACTCATCACAATTCTCCTTTAAAGAAGTGGGAAGAAAGGAAGCACTATGTTTACTATATATAAAGCTTGGCAACACTCCAAATGAGTAAATTGCCTTTGATATTTATTTCAAGCAAAAGAAGACACTTCAATCCAGCTTGGTTTTAAAAATCCAGACTTTTAGGTTAAATCCAGACTCACAGTGCAGTTCTTCTACGAGGTCTCTAGGGGGCTTGCATAAGTGCACCAACGTGCCTACAGTCCCTGTCCTATTGTTTCTTTTATATATATTTTTCATTTTTCTTATATGTATCCATGAATTCATTACTGTTTTTACTTATTATCTTGTAAGCAATTGACAAATAAAAATAAAAATAAAATAAAAATAAAAAAATAAAAATACATGTTTATTTACACACAGATCCAATGAGTTCAGTGGAGTTTGCAAGCTTTTTAGGAGGAAGGAAAGTTGCTTTCTAAAAACATTTCTTTGAATTCAAAGGCAAACAAGAAAATTATCCAAATTAATTCCAAAGATTTACTCAAATTAATTGAAGCATGCTGTGGCTTGCTATTACAGAATCAAATTTGCAGAATTAAAGACTGGAATACAAACATTCATATTCCACTTGGGCAATTTCCCATGAGGTTTTCATGTGCTAAAATAGTCATCACCAACAAACACATACACAAGCTTTTTCTGTTCTCTAGAACTGTTCCCTGACAAAATAAGCAAGGCATTATGTTTTTCTTTGTTACTTCATTGCTTCTTCCTCTTGCCATTTTTGCAATATCTTGCTTAATGAAAAGTTCTGAGAATTCAAAAGGCTACATATACTTCAGTTGGCCTTGTTTTAATATGATAGGCATTTGAAGCCATACCTAGCACTAAACTTTGCTAAAATCATAATATATAGCTATGATACACATAATTTAACAGAGCCTTATTTTAGAAAATGACAATTGTCTGCAAAGCAACAAGACGAATAATTTTTTTTTGTAGAATGTTGGTTATATTCTGAAATAAAAAATCATAAACTTTTCACAAAAATAATAAAACGTGTACTTATTAATACATATCTTATTTGAATTGAATTGAAATTGAATACTTTATTTGGCCATTTAAACCCACAAGGAATTTGTCTTAGATGCAGAAGTTCAGTGCATATGCAAAGAAACAGAGTAATGATGATGATGATGATGATGGAAGCATTATTTCATCTTGGGTATATGGTCTGTGCTTTGCACTACATCGCTGATTTTATCAGTAAGTTCTACTCTTTTCCTACTTTAAATACCCTACAAAGGTCCCGATATTCCAAATTGAACACTGAAGCATCTCCTCTTCATAGACCACCTACTGTGAAACAAATGAAGAAGTAATGACCTGCCAGGAGAAGACAAGACTGATTATGAAGTCCATAAGTCAGCACATGAAATGGGAAAGTATTTCAGTTAACCTCTTTCAAATTAAGAGTAAATTTGAAGATTTTTTTCACATGACAGTCTGATATTGTTATCGTCTTTTTTATGAGGGTTGAAGAAAACGGTGGCTTTGATATAGACTTTTTCTCTGTGTCTCTACTAAGACATTTCTGATTATTCTATTCTAAACAAAAGAAACTCTACTTCTGACCTTTGGCTCAATCTCCTCCTGGGGCACAAACATATGGGAAGGGTTCCTTGTGTTCTTGGAGATAATTATCTTATGGGGAGACTGGGCATTAATTATCATCAATTATAAGAGCTTACTTGGTCCAAACAAACTTATTGGAATATGCAGGTAAAATCTCACCACACATTAAAACTAATTGTATTGTGACAAGCTGAGGAATTTTGAATCAGCTCCTAGTAAAGAAATAAAGAAGGCCTACTCTGGAAACAGTGCAGAGAAGAACAACGAAGATGATTAGAGGACTAGAGGCTAAAACACATGCAGAACGATTGCAGGAATTGGGTTTGTCTAGTCTAATAAAAGGAAGGACTAGGGGTGATATGACATCTGTGTTCCAATATCTAAGGAGCTGTCACAAAGAAGAGGATGTTAATCTATTCTCTAAAGCATCTGAAGGCAGGACAAGATGGAAACTAATCAAGGAAAGAACCAACCTAAAACTAAGGAGACATTTCCTGACAGAGAGAACCATTAATCAATGGAATGGCTTGCCCTCAGAAGCTGTGGGTGTTCCAACATTGGAGGTTTTTAAGAAGAGATTAAATTTGTCTGAAATTGTATTGACTGGATTAGAACAGTGGTCGCCAATCGGTGGGCCACTGTCCACTGGTGGTCCGCGAGAAATGTCACCCTCAGAGCACCCCCAAAGCAATTAATCCAGGCTGTGTGGGAACACAAGGCTGCACCCCCCACATGGCCCGTGGGAACTCTCCCCGCCCACTCACCCCTTACCTGGCAAACTTGCCTGCTAAGTTGCTATTTTTCCTTTCCTTTCCCCCCTCCCCCCTGTGCTGGGAGATTTAGATTAGATAGAAAGCAGCAAATCGTTGCATTTCTTGCTTTCTAGCTAATCTTTAGATCTTCGGCTCTGCTTTTAAGCAGAGCTGAACCTCCCTTAAGACTGAAAATTCTATTATTCAGTTGCAGACTCAGATAGCCGATGGCAGAAACACAGATCTTGAAGTGAATCTGTGATTCTGTGAGCAACTCAATCTGCCTGCCTGCTTTGCCTGATTTTGGGTAAAAGTTGCTTTTTTATAAAAAATCCAATGTTTACATTAATATTTATAATATTTACATACAAGCCATGCCCAGCCAGTCACATGACCACCAAGCCACAACCACAAATTAGGCCACACTCAAAAACTGGTTGTTAAGAAATTTGGGAGAGAAATGTGGGAGAGAGAGAGAGAGAGAGAGAGAGAGAGAGAGAGAGAGAGAGAGAG